TCTATTCATATTTAGCAATATAAAAATAATTTAATAACAATATGGTAGCAATATAATAACAATACAGTAGCAATTTAATAGCAATTTAGTAGCAATAAAATGCAGTAGTGTAGTAGTTAACACTAATGTAACTGCTCTGTTACTATTATTTGACTATTAAGTAACTATTAAGTGACAATTAAGTGGTGATGTTTATAAAAATTGAGCAGTTTCAGCAATGTATATATCATTGTATAATTTGTCTCTTAAAAAAAAAAAAGAGAGGGGAGAGGAAAAGTAAAAAAAAATACATACATTATCAAACCCCTGGTTTTCTTTCTAATCAAAGCTGAAAATAAATAATGAACAATTCTAGCAGTTTATAAAGAAAATATTTCGATTGTTGAACATAGTGGCAAGTAGACAAAATGATATATAAGAAGATAACCTAATAAGAACAAGAATATTTATTGGAAAAGAAGATAATGATCTGATAAAATGGTTATAAGGATTTGAGAAAATAATAGAAATAAATAATTGGAATAAGAGAAAAAAGCTCATAATGGTTTTGAACTACATGGTGGGTCTAGCAACTGAGTGATACCAGAAAAACAAAAAAAAATCTCAAAATAAAGAGATGCTATATCCCCTGATCAAGCTTTTACCATATATTGACGAAACAATTTGCCATCTCGGAAAGATAATATAAATGGCAAATAAAGTTAAACAAGTTTAACCAAAAAAATAAGGAGAAAGTCAACAGCTATGCAATAAAGTTTAAGCACCTACTTGCAAGGGTTGACTTTAAAGAAATGATTCCTGTGGACTACATAATAAGAATGTTCTTAAATAGACTAAAAGTTAATACTGCTACATTTGTTATCATGATATTACTGAAAATGCTTACAGAAGCCATTATGGTGGTGTAAAAGGTAGAAGCTAGAAACTACTCTAAATAACAAGTATTGGAAAGAGAGACAAGTGTGATGAAGAAATTAGAAAATGACATGGAAAGGATAAAACAGCAAATTATGCAATCCTAAGAAAAACACACCAACTAGAGCAAAGGAAATGAAAGTGGAAAAGTGTAATCTGCTATCAGTATGGGAAGGAAGGGCATGTAGTTCAACAATATACTGAGAAAAGATATTGAAGGAAATACAAATATCATGACTCCAAGAATACACTACTGTTATGAAGAAGTAGAGATGAGCAGAACAGATAGAGAGAAAAAAATATACACTGTGGAAGATGTGTTGCAAACTACAAGGAAGAGAGAAAGGTTGGGGCACCAGGTAGCGAAAAGAGTAAATGAACAACCGAAAACACCAAAATTTATAAGGATACAGGAGCCAATAGTAGTTATGGAACCTTCAAGACAGCTGGTGCTACCAAGAAATTAAAACAAAAAAGAATGCTCTTCATGATCAATTCTATACATGTGACATAAATTATTTTGCTGTTGACTTAATTCCCAAAATCCTTAAAAAAAATTGCATTATGACTCAATTATTTATATGTTTTAATAGTGACTTAATTAATTGCGTCAAATAATTGTATCAATTGCGTCAAGGATCTACAATTTCAGCAACATGTATAGTCAATTCATTAAATTATATGACCTATCCAACAATATTTTATTACTAATGTTCATTGCAACTCTAAGGCAGCTGCTAAAATATCCTAATCAATAATGTAATCTTTCGAGAATATTGAAGTGACCTCTACTATCAACCAAAGCAAATTATATGAGTTCTGCAAGGATATTCAAGACCACAACTGTTAAATGTTATATGCAAATTGTAAACAAAATAGTAATTGTAATCTTACATATCAGGGCAGCAATGAGTATTATAACAAAGAAGTTATTGCATAGGCTCTATTTGAAGATAAATTAAAAATCTATTTCTGTCATCGTCACTACTAATGGAACTAGAGAATGAACTCTGGAAGATAAGTATTACAATTTAAGGAGCAATCATCCCACAACATTGTGGATTATTAAATCTAGAAACAAAATATTACTATTGGAGACCAATTGATTCTAGAGAGCCAGGACTCGGATTTATTTCAATAAAAACAAGATTTTTCTAAAATACCTGAGAAAAGAGTTAGAAGTGCCTATCTCGCACAATGGCATCAAAAAGCTAGCATAGCCAAAGGAATTAGAAGAAAACAACTATGGAAGCAAGGATATGTTTGAAGAGATTGAGTATGAAAGTAAAGAAGTGGAAGTAAAGAAAGAATACTATATGAGGGATTTATCAGAAGGTAAGAAAAGGACTAATTGGAAGAAGATATAAAGCCCTGCAATATATTTAACTGCCTTAGAGAAAGTGCCAACACTGGAAAAAGAAGTAGAGTATACTGATGAAAAATATAAAGTGGAGTTGGATAACCTAATGAAGGCAGGAACAAGCAGAGGTAATGAAACTCTTCAAAAAAGAAAAAGAACTATTTGCAGAAGAAATGAATAAGATCACTCCATCAACATAATTTGTTATGAGATCAATATTGATAATGCAAAACCAATCAAACAGGCACTATACAGAATGGTGCCAGATAAATATGAATATGTAAAGAAGAAACTGGCTAAAATAAAGAACCAGAGGCTCATTATGAAACCCATGAGCCCATGAGTATTCCTGATCATAATAGTGTTAAAGAAAAATGGTAAGCATTACCTGTGTGTCAACTATAGAAAGGTGAACATGATAAAAAAAAAACATGTACTCTTTGCTACGAATCAACAATTTAATTGAAGCCCTAGGGTGAGCAATGTAGTTTTTGAATCTTGACCTCGCCAGCGGATACTGGCAGGTGTAAGTTCACAAGAGAAACTGTAAAAAAACAGCTTTTACAATGAAGTTCGAGATGTACAAGTTTTAGGTAATACTATTTGAACTGTGAAATGTCCTGGAGATGTTCCAGAAACTTATAAATATGGTGATGTACAATTACATCAGTAAATTTGTGGCTATCTACTTAGATGACATCATCATATACTTGCAAATATTCCTGGAACATATCAGACACCTAGCCTATGTCTTTGAAGAACTTCGCTAAGTCTTATTAAAACTAAATGCTAAGAAATATAGATTCTTTTTATCGAATGTGAAATTTTTAGGACACATTGTAATAAGGGATGGTATTCGACCAGACAAAGATAAGATTATAAAAGTAAGGAATTTTTCAGCCCTAGGAAACATGAAACAGTTGTAAAGCTTTATTAGTCTTACATCTTACTATCAGAGGTTTATTTGAGGATTCACAACAATCGCCAGGCCATTACATTAGCTGCTGGAGAAGGAAGTACAGTATGAATGGGGAAATGAATATCAAATCACATTCAAACTGCTGAAGACACACGTAACAACAGCCCTGACCCTCTAATACCTAAATTTCGAAAAACTATTTTATTTGCATACTGACATATCTAATACTAACTTAAAGTTGTACTAGCACAGGTAGATGATTTAAGACAAAAATATGTAATTATCTATGCTAGTAGAGTTTATCAAAAGCAGAATGAAACTATATGACAACATAGTTAAAATGCTTGGCTATAGTGTAGAGTGTCAAATACTTTCACTATTACTTGAGCATAAAACCATTTATGATAGTTACTAATTATTCTGCATTAAAATGATTAGAGAACTTAAAGCCAAAAGGCAGAAGAGCACAATGGATCCTTTGCCTCCAACCATACAACTATACAGTGTTATATCAGGTCGGAAAGAATCACTTTAAAGCCAATGCATAATCTAGTTTATTGGTTAAAGAAAAACAAAAAAAGAATGTGAACATTGGAAACAATGAATGAGACAAGTCAAACATACCCCAGCAAAGCAATATGACAAATAACAACCTATCCAAACCAAACAGTAAAATCTAATACAAGGCATTAAAGAAATAAAAGCAAAAAAAAAAAAAAATCGAGAAACAAAATCCAGTCCAGATTCCAGTGTCCTGATATAAAAAGAGAAAAACTAAGAAATTCAAGGATAAATGTTTAAGTCAACAGGTATGATGAACGAGAAACAATATAGATAGCTAAAGAATTTCCTAAAAGAACAATAATTATCAATAAATTGCTTGCAACAACAAGCAAAACAAATACAAGCACAAGATATCTTCTTCATTAAAAAAGAAGGAATGGTATATAAGAAATACAAGCATAAACAAATGAACCTACTAAGGATGCTATGATAACATAAACTGGAACCCATCCTATACCTGATACATAACTATTCACTTGATAAATACCTGGGAAGAGAAACCATGTTCAACAAGATCCAAAAATTATACTACTGGCCATAACTGTATAAGAATATCTGAACATACGTGTGCTCTTGTGATCAATGCCAGAGAAGATAAAAGAGCAAGTAGAGAGAGCTCCTTTATCCCATATCTATGGAGAAGCCATTTGCAAAGGTGGGAATCAACATTATAGAATTATTATCTGTTACCCCCAGGAAGAATAAGGATATAGTAGTTGCCACCAATTATATAACAAAGTAGCCAGAAGCTTGAGCTTTGGAAGAAGCCTCAGCACAAAAAATAACAGAATTCATTTACAATGAGATAGTGTATAGATACAGTTGTTCAACTTATCTGTTGTTTGACCAGAGAGCCAACTTTAGAAGTTACATGTTAAATGCATTCCTGAAGAAATTTTATGTCAATCTCTAATACTCCACACTATAATATTCACAGACAAACAGATTAGTGGAATGGTTTAACTACACTCTATGTGAATTCATTGCTAAGTCAGTGCATAATGTAACAGACTGGGATCTAATAATACCTGCCATCCTATTCGCCTATCAAATAACATGTCAAAGAATAATAAAGATAATACTATTTTATTTAGTTTATAGAAAGGAGGCATAAACTCCAATCCACCCCATGGAGCAAGGAAAGCTATCAGAAGAAACGATATGACAAAAAGTTTCCAACCTTGTAGGAATATTACTGCAGCAATAAAGGAATATGGTAATAAAAATAAATACTATCCAGCAAGAATTAAATATATAACATTATTAAACATTTCCAAAAGATCATGGCCTTATCATAGGGGACAAGGTGCTAGTATACATATGGTTCCGAAAATTGGAATCGAACAGAATTGCAGGGAATCACATGAGGTTCAGAACACTATTAAAAATGATGGTGGAGTATACCCACCTATTAAATTTAATATAAACTTGAGAATCGAATATAGAATCGAAGATAATTGTTAAGATCCTTAAGTATATATAATGTCTCAAGAGTACTCCTGGAGTAACAAGCTTAAACCCAAAATGAGTAGGCCCATTTTATATTTATAAGATCTGACCAAGGACTATTTACCATTATGTACACTAGATAGAAAAGTTTAGAAGAAACTGATCAACCGGTGGTTACTAAAAAAAATACATGGAACATATAACAGAATGTCAGTAGCAATAGAGACTAAGTCCTACAATCCAACAGTATTACTGACAAGAGAATAGCACAACAGAGAAGTGAAAGTATAAAAGAGGGAAGGAGAGATTAAACAAAACAATAAAATGAAAATTGATCTTAACCTGATTTTTAATAATTTGCTGGCAACCTGAAAATTTATAAAAGAAATAGTAACATCACAACAAGTATAACAAGCATGTACCAACAAATAAAAAAAAAACAACATGTAAAGTATCAGATTGATGCTCTTATATACACTTTCTATATTGAAGAGCTTATCATAAATACCAATTAATTATTACAGGAAAGGATACCTCCAGGCATACTTACATAATACTACCAAATGGGATGCAAATGCACCTATCAAATGTTTGAAAAACAGAATATAACCCAAATCTATCGAACAATGCATATAATGATTAGCATGATTAAAACTATGCACATCGATACATACCGTGGTTTAGTAGTCATTGGTAACATGTATAAGCAGGGAAAAAGAAGAAAAATGAAGGGAAATGGTGACTTATTATAACAAAGAATTTATGCAATGACATAGCATTGTAAGAATAGCTTACCTTAATTATTTTGACCACTATTTTTCAACACTTAAGTTTTTAGGATTTTTTTAATATTAGTATTTTGTTTGGCTTTGTTTTTCAATTTCAATTCCAATTCCAATTTCAAAAAAAAAAATTGAAAAAATTTTTAAGCAAAAAAGAATATTAATTTTACTTTATTATTAGTATAATAGTTCTTGTTTTTGAAACCAAATAAATAGTTGAAAATATTATCACCTTTTTTTTTATCTTTTATTTTTTATAGTTTATATAAATAAATAATATTGGATTCACATATAGCTATAGACAACCTATGCATAAAGCTTTGCATTGGCTGAGTCCTGGTCCTGCCTGAGATAGAGAATCAGAAGTATGCATTTGGACAAGCACTTTTACATAGATTTTGACTTTGCCATCACCTCACATATTCGAGGAAATTTATCATGAAGTTATTTTCTCGTCTCAATCTCCAACTTCTATTCACACCAAAAACCATGACCAGCATACCTCCTCCAAAAGATCGGCATAAGATGATCATGCCATGTTAGGAACAAGGCCCCTAATATGAATAGACCCACAGGCCGTATCACAACAACAAGCTGATTCCCAGGTCCAGCAATTATAAAAACCGATTCTCCTAATCACATCACTTCCCATTCACAGTCAATTACATAGTGAGCACATATATTGGTTATAAAATAACTAGTAGCTAGCTTTTATTTACCTTTTTCTCTTTCTCCACGAGAGTTTTTAGAGTTTGTATATGTCACCTTAATTGCAATAGGCTAGGATTATTCTATACAGTTGGTAGAAAGATTCTTAATGTAATAGCTCAAACAAATTATTTGTTTAATAAAGTCTTGCATTTAATGCCCATTTGCAAAAAAAAAAAAAAAACCTATTTTTTATTTTTTTGTAACAATATATAACTTTTAATTTTGACAGAATATAAAAACTCTTTCCCGCAAATCAATTTCCAATCGAAAATTTCCTTATTTGGCAACAACCTTTCAAGAAACCGTTCACT